CTGACATCACTGGTTGCAGACCACAAAACAACAGGTGACATCAGTGAGCTGGCCGGGATGCCGGCCAGTGCATTACAGGTTGTTAAGAGCTCCTAGCAACCTGGGACACTTTAGCCGGAAAGGGGCGGCGGCGTGGAGGCACAGGCACACCTACTGCCCCCTACCCGACATGATCCAAAAGGATGCCACCTGAGGCTACCTCATTATAGGGACAGTCCTGGTTGCAGACCCCACAACAATGATAGTGCCACCTGTGATAGAGCTCATATATGAACCCTGACATTACATTCTGTTAATAAGTCTATACGATGCCATAAAAAAAGGAAATAATACATAAACAAAATGCAAGCTTACATACAGGGGCGGAACTACCGCCATAGCGACCCATGCGGGCGCTATGGGGCCCGCGCCAGAAGGGGGCCCGGTCAGGAGCAGGAGGGAGGTTTAGGGGTCCTTATTTTCCGTGCGGCCGCAAGTCAAAAATGTTACCGTCGCACGGAACCTAAGGACACTAAATCTGCAATCCTCTTCCCTGCCAGTCACGGTGCAGAGCAGGGGTGGGCGGAGTTATCTCCTGTCTGTGTCCAGCTGGAGGAGATGGCGAAGCAGATTTTTTTTAGTTGTATTTACACTGCCAAACCAGAGAAATTAGGAAAAGTGTGTTATATATTGCACTGCGTAATCCTTCTGTGGGGTGGCAGTGTTATTATAACTTAAAATAACATTGCCACACCAGTGAAGCTGGGGAAAATGGGGTTACAAATGATAAACCCCAGTGGTATTTTACGTTATAATTTTAACCCCCCTTGTGTAATTGTAAATCCCATTTTCCCAGCTTATTTGGTGGCACTGTTAAAGAATTAGGCCTCGTTACACAGGACGTTCTGGCATTCCTGCAGCAGAAACATACAGATTCTTGCGACAGGAATGTCAGGTGTCCCACTTAGATGTGGCTGCTGTACTCACTGAAGTTATCCTCCCTGGCGGTCTGATTATTTCAGGTATTTTTTCTATTTTTTCTATTTTCTTTTTTTTTTCTATTTTTTTAATTTTTACATTTCCCGCCAGTTCCGCCCCCTGCAACGCAGGCGCTCGCAGGGGACCGAACCCAGAAGACAGATGCCGGCATGATGTATTGGCTGGAGTGGACAAGGTAAGTAACGCGCTGTGTAATCCCGAGTGTGGCATGGGGTTACTGCTTTTGGTAATGAAAATTAACCCCGAGCAACACTCAGGATTACCACCAGGGAGGTTAATGACCAGGTTATAGCTGCCATATCTGTAAGCGACAGTCCGCACGAAATGTACGTGATATGATTAAATGCAGTTTTGAATAGATCACTGTCTCTGGATGTACGTATATTGCATTCAGGGACAGTGATCTATTGTAAACTGCATTTAATCATATATAATAATAATATATGCTGTAGTTCAGGCACCAGAGGGGGGTGCGGGTTGGGGGGCCCTCTACAAATTTTTGCTATGGGGACCTGTGATTTCTAGTTACACCCCAGCTTACATAGGTTAATGCAAAGCACTCTATCATCAAAGTGTCAGGTGCTTAGCAGAATGTCTGGGAGCAGAACTGTCTTATAGTCTGCATCTGAAAAGAATTGTTCGGCTTGCCAGGCACAAGCCAATCAGAGTGAAACCTTCACTATAAAATGACAGTTATAGAATGAAAGTCTGAATCAGATTAGTAGCTGTGCAGCAATGCAGACAGTCCTAATATAGGACATTTTGATAGATCCAGCACACAGTAAAGATGCTCCCATAGCAACCGATCAAATTCAAACTTTTCTTCCCTGTCATTTTTCAGTACAGGTTTATTGGTTACAGGGCTCAGACATTTCTTCTCTTAGTAGTGTTCTATGAGACACAGACAGAGAGAGGGGAGGAGAAAGGGAGAGATGGATAAACAAAAATAAAATAAGATTCATATAATGAAGAATTTGCCCAGAAGGGGAAATCTAAATCTTTACATTAACAGTAACGAGGGATCATTAGAAAGGGGAAAGGGCACATAGGCAAGGCACAGCCATGAGGACAGGCATGGTCACCATTATTTCCCCCCCTGAAAATACTACAGTGAAATCCCTCAATGTAAGGTGGTGACATTTGACAAAAAGGTGACACATTTCTCTTACATTAGCTATTTGCAGCAAGGGCAGAGGTCCTCTCACTTTATCAGTACTGGTCCTCTTTGGAAAAACTAAACTAGCCAACAACTATTTTTTTTGCAACTCTCACCTGGAATGAAAGTCAGTTTCTCTGAGCAGAAAAAGCATCATCTATGAAAAAAAACATTGCTGTGTCATGTTAGCCAGTAACAAATACAGGAAAATGGGAATGTTGAACTTGTCCCAACAGGATATACTGTATTAAGAACATTTGGCAATTCGTTTTCACTTAGGGGTCTATTCACTAAGCTTCTGAAGGATCTAGCCGTAGCTTCGGGTGATCCTTCAGCTAGCTTCGGCACCAGGACTCCTTCGGTTCAGTAAAAACGAAGGGCTGCTGTACGAGATATTCACTATAGCCCGTACAGCTCCCGCAGTCGGCCGAGCGGCTCAGTCGAGCTGATGGCATATGCTTTGGCTTGACTGTGCCGAGGTGAAAGCCTAAACTGGCCGAGCGGCCGGCCATTGGCCGGCCGACAGCTTGCTACTTACTGCTGGGCGGAGCCAGCCGTCAACTTACGGCTGGCTCCAGCCACTTGCACAGACAGATCAGCATCCCTGGTTACCAGGTAACCAGGGACACTGATCTCCAGTCAACCCAACTCTCCCGGGCGCTCCGGGAGTCTCCCCCTATTAGATTGCGGCTCCCGGTCGACCGAGAGAGAAACACTTTCTCCCAGAAAGGTTTACTCTGCTTGATCGAGCAGAGTAAACCTTTCCCTGCTCTGTTTTTTTTTCTTCTGACATCGAGCCGTTGGCTGCCGTCAGAATAAAAAAAAAGAATAAAAAAATCACCATAGGAATGCATAGCTAGATTCCTATTGGCTATTTCAATTTGCAATAGCCAATAGCAAACTAGCTATTGCACCCGCCCACTGCTGCTGTCAATCAGCAGAGGGGACCTGAAGTTCTCCATCAGGTCCCCTCTAGTGATTGACAGCAGCAGAGGGCGAGTGCAATAGCTAGTTTGCTATTGGCTATTTCAAAGTGAACATCCAAACTGCAACATCCATAAGACCCTTGAGTATTCAACATTTCTGCAAGTGTAGGATACATGTGCCCCACAGAGCATCATGGTTCTAATTTCCTCACCCCTACATCACTAGTGGACTCATCACTGGCATAGGGGTCAGAAGATGTAACCACAGTGCAGGGCAAGGGACATAGGTATCGTATACTTTTAGAAGTGTCAATGCCAAAGAGGTTTACAGGGGATGAAGCACTAGAACAGAGGGCCACTTTCTATTGCAAAGACCTTTTAATTTGGATTTTTTTTTTTTTAAACATGACATGGTTGCACAAATGAAACAAAATGAAATATTTTAGTTTTTTTTTTCTTTTTGAAAACCTGATGAATAATGATCTTTATAAATTATCATTAAAAAGAACTGTTCATATATGACATAGTGAGACATAAAGGTCATACTCAGATAACAGAAAAGCAAAGCACATTTTTTAAATGAAGGACAAATTTCAAAATGTTTCAGCACAAATGTGGCTCAGGAGGTACCTTAATGTGCACTGCATAATTACATGGATGAAACTGCAAATAAAAAGACCTTTACTGCCCATAAATATCGCTTGGATGGAACCTCAATGTATGATTGGTGGTCCGAGCAATGGAGATTAAAGAATTATATTGTGCTGCATAGATGGGTTGTTTAAATTGGTTCACTGTTGTGACAAATTGCAGGGCAGTATTTACAGATTATGCTGTCCTAGACAAAGGTGCAGGTCATGTTACCAAATTATTTCTATTTGTATTCTAGGACTTGTACATGCGAACCCTTTCTTTTGTGTTTGTGGGTTGCTTTATTTGGTGAAAGGTAAACCAAGCAGAGCTGTTTCTACAAATGACAGTCACTGGACTCTATAGGAAGATATCAATGTACACAGTGTTTGAAAACCTTTTGTGCAGCGCTTTACAATATAGGGAAGACATTATAATTACAATTCAATTCAAGACAAGATGGTAAGGAGGGCCCTGCCTGTGAGAGCTTATTAGGTGATACTATGGACAAGGTTAAAGAGGGAGGTAACTTAATGATAATAAAATGTTCCAGTGAATTTAACTTGCATTCACCCCATTTAAGCATCTACTCTAAGTAAACCTCCACTTTCCTCAAGCTTTTTCCCAATCCATAGTACACCTAATAAATTATATTTTTTTCTGTCACTCTATTCCCTGGTTTGGCTGCCTATCTGTAATTGTTGGATCTTCCCAGAAGGCATATCAGCATTTGTGGAGTTGTGTGGTAAGTTGAGATGAGACCTAAAAGTAGAGAGGTCATGTCTGGGGTCACATTAGAGAGCAGATGAATGGGAAGGCACCACATAATCAGTGTTTGGGTTCCTCCAACCGGGGGGGGGGGGGGATGGTTTAGTTGGTCTCACCAGTTGTGTGTTCATAATATAACAATATAAAACAACAGTCTAGAATTCATAATCTATTTTTTTTTAAACAGATTTAAAAAAACTGACTAAAAACTATTATAGTTTTCCTTTAAAGAAAATAGTCTGAAAAGAAAGAATATTTCCTTTAAAGAAAATAGTTTGGAAAAAAAGAATATTAACCAGCAAATCAGTTCAGTAGCCATGCTGCTGAAGATCTATCTCTCTGTCATCATGATTGCTAGATCATTCCATGTTTTATATTATGTCTTTGACGGTGGTAAGTTAAGGGGGAATCCACATGAAGCATGACTATGAAAAAAAACAAAACAATATCTGTTAAACAATGGCTGCACTTGATACTGTAGAGTTGTACAAATGTGTGTGTAACCTTTTACTTATTGGCCAATTCTCTTTCATTTTTCACAGACTAAAACTGGTTTTGCACAGCTGTATAATGAAGGTTCAGAAAATGCTATTGATGTACGACTCAGACTCACTAAAGATGCACTGACCATTCAGAAGCAGGACGTGGTTTGTGTCAGTGGAACCAACCCAAGTTCCAATGTAAGTGTTCTGTCTGAATAATTCCTGCCAATATTTGCAGAACATGTATTTCCACATGATGGAAAATCTTTGATGCCCAAAATGAAACTCCAAAATGGAACTCCAGCAAAAGTCATAATTCCAGGATGTATTATTACAGACATATACTGTGTATAGCTCCATCAGTTTACACAGCACTTTACATACAGTCCGTGTCCTCAAGGACCTGACAATGTAAGGTCCCATCTCACATGCATACATATGAGGGCTAATTTAAGCAGGAGCCAATTAACCTACCAGCATGTGTTTGGAGTGGGGGAGGACACTGGAGTACAACCAGTACAACCAGAAAACCAAAGGAAGCACAGGAATGATGTGCAAACTACATGCAAATAGTGTTCTGACTGGAATTTAAACTGAGGACCCCAGTGCTGAAAAGCTAAAAACTAAGTCACTGTGTTGCCACAAATGCTCCATGCATATGGCCCACTGTACTCCTAGGTGATTGGACAATAAAAGAGTAGTAGGTATTTGACAAGATCATGTAGTAACTCTCACCTACTGTAAGCATGTTCATTATAGACTGACAAGCACGCTGCACACCCTAATTGGCTGCCATTGCAACACAGTAAAACTGCAGTGGTGTGCACACAGGGATTGATTTACTAAAGGCAAATTGTCTGTTCATTTTCCAAGGGAATTTTCCCTTTAGCTTAGTGAATTACGTGAAGCTCTGTGGACTTCAATCATCCAAAATAAATATAAAATGTAAATCAAAAGTTTATGTTTTTATAATTTGTCCCATTTAAAGTGAAACTAAAATCATGTTTCTGGTACAGAGCATAGCAAAGTTATGTGCAAATGAAAAAAAATTGGGGTTGATTATGGTTAACTAAGGGGAAATAAAGGGGTTAAAAATTAATACTTTTTATTTTTTTCCTAAAAGTTTTCTTTAACTGATGGTATACTCATCTAATGTCACATCTTTAAGCTAGATATGAATGAACTAGTAAACACAATAAGCCAATACATTTGTTACATTGTTTTTACTCCATGACACTTGCAGACTATCTCTAAGTGTAGTGTTGCATAGGATTGAATGCATTAAAACTGTGTAATTCAAAGCAAATCCCAGCTATCATTTTTACAGTAGTCATCAGTTGCCAGTAATCATAGTTATATACGTTGGGGTTAAAAAGGTGCCAAGACACATCCAATTGCAGAATTTCATAAAACATACCATTGTTTATTTACATGTAAATATTAAAAACTGCACAATAAAAACAAATGCCCCAAAATTATGTGCTTCATCATAAACATGCAAAATGCACAATATAGTCCATACAAGATACCTCCCAAAGCCACTCGACTAAGCAAAGAGAATCGTGTACAGATATATCAAAGTTCATCACAAAGGAAGAGATGACCAGTGCCCCAATCTTTAACACATTTAGCATACACTTCTTCAGGAACATATGGAGGCAATTTTAAAATTACTTCAAAATAGAGCATTTATTTTGTGTGTACCAAGGTGTAGAGCCCACATTTCTGGGGACAGCAGTGGCCACTTGAATGATTTGATTAAAAAAATTCCTGAAATGGGAGGAAGCCAGACCATAATCTGGTGTAGGGTAAGAGGTGAAGGCAGCAGGTTTCTTCTCTCAGAGGATGAAGAGTATTCTCTGTCCTAGTATCCTCCGCCAACCATTCACTGTAGTAACAAATACTCTTTCCCTAACATGGCTCCGTGCTCCCCCATCGGCCATCTTTATACCCATGGCATCAGAAAAGCTCTTTGACACCTTTAAAGCCCAATGTATTTAACTATGATTTGTGTACAACAGTAGGGTTGTGGTGCCGTATTTCTCGTTGGCTGAGTATGCATTATTGATAATGATTAATTGCCAGTAATAGCAGTGGGTGGAGAGGGGAGGCAGCAAGGGAGAGGAGCAAGACGTAAAAGATGCATCCTCAAAACTTTGTTATTTAGGATGTATTTCATATATCTAGAGTCTTCAAGTGGTTAATTATCCTTTTAAACACAGTATCGCACTGTGCCTCACACAAAGAGCGGCACAAAGACAGCTGATGCCGGTAAACTGCAGCTGTCACAGTGCAATACAGTGTTTGTCAACAAACCTAATGTGATCCCCATGATTGGCTGTTATAGTGATCATATGACTGAAACCATGCTGATTATTCATGATCATTAGTCTAAGCCAGTGGGTGCTAGTGACAGCATGGTCTTAGAACTGATTCTTAAATACCGTTCTTTTAGCATGGGGAGAGAGCAGTATTCTACAGACTTCAGATGTCTAGATGTTAAAGTGACACTAAACTCAGGAGTTACATCTTAAAAATGCATTCAAGTACATTAATAACAAAATATAGCTTATTTGTGCATCACTCGGCTGTAGATCCTCAAATCATCTCAGAATTGGTGCTGACACTGCCCTTCCTTCTGGAGGGTGGCTACTTTTGTTTCCCATGGTCCCTGTGTTGTAAAGTAGTCACCGCTCCAAGCTCACTCCTATGATGGACCATAACTTCAATACATATTAGCTAACTAAACATGAGAGTGTAGTCCATCATGGGAGTGAGCTTGGAGTGGTGGCTATTTTACAACACACACAAGGACCATGGGGAACAAATGTAGCCACCCTCCAGAAGGAAGGACAGTGCACTGCAGTTAAGGTATGTCCCTCAGCATCCTCACATCCTATACACTATGTCTAAAACACGATGACTCACGGAACGTAGACCGCTGGAGTGAAGGGGGAGCGAAGCGTAAGGGACCTGCCTAAGAGCAAACAGAAACAGGAACCATACCGCACTCCTTACCGGGATTCCCACTTGATGAAGATGGGTGCTCGAAATGACTGCAGATGGCACCGCCACACATGAACAGTAGAAAAATGTCACTAGCACACCATGAGTTGAAAAAGCAAAATATTTTATTGCCAATAGCTGTATCTCATTGGCAAGCGCTTTCGGGGCCTCGCAGGGTCCCCTTCATCAGGCTTAGAGATATGGTTATCTCTAAGCCTGATGAAGGGGACCCTGCGAGGCCCCGAAAGCGCTTGCCAATGAGATACAGCTATTGGCAATAAAATATTTTGCTTTTTCAAGTCATGGTGTGCTGGTGACATTTTTCTACTGCCTAAGAGCAAGCCTGCTCTGAGGATCTGGTGGGTATAACTTTGTTATTTACGTCCCTAAATCAAAATGAGCGCTTAATCCTTGCAGTGTAGGGGTAGTCCCACTGCAAGGGTTAATAAAAAAGAATTTCCCCAGGGTTATCTGTAAAAAATAAGTCAAGGCGACTGGATTTGCTGTATTTTTCTTGAAGACGTTTCACTGGACATCCGACCAGCTTTCTCAATGAGTGAATCAGTGAAACGTCTTCAAGAAAAATACAAGGGGATCAAAGAAAAGGGGGAGTACAGAAGCGCTACTACCATATATAAACTGAATAGAGATGGCCAACTTACCAATGGATGGATGGTGGACCGTAATCAGCGGCGAGGGGTCGAAGGGTGTAGGTCCATGAATGGTGAGGGTGGTGAGCACTCAGGGGGATATGTGAGCAATTAGGAGGTATGTGGGTCTCGGCTGAGGGGGGCACAGTGTAAATGCTAGCCTGGGTATGTGTTGCAGGAAGGGGGGGGGGTGGTTATTGCAGGCACACGTGAAGAGAGTAATGATGGCTGCTGTTACAGTTGTAAAGGGCGATGCTGGATGACAGGCTGTCTGAGCCGACGGCTGGGAGACTTCAATCTATTCAAGGCAGGACGCCAAATGGATCGGGGGGGTGGAATGTGGCACTTGCTGACAAGCGGCGGGTGTTCCAGGAAGATAAGGGATGGTAATGGAGGTGGTGACCTGTCGATGGGGTATGTGGCCAGGAGGGCCGGTCCAAGTGGTGAGACTCCAACGCTCGAGGGCACGAGCTCCTCACTACCCGGCTTGAGAAAGAAGACAAGCTCTTTGAAACGCGTAGCCACTCTGTTTTTTGCCACACCAGACCCAGCTCTTACCTCCGCCACTTCCCGTCCTCACCCGCTCCGTTCTGCAGACACACCGCTCGTTGTCACCGGGCTCCCCGCTCGTGCCCTCGAGCGTTGGAGTCTCACCACTTGGACCGGCCCTCCTGGTAAGTTGGCCATCTCTATTCAGTTTATATATGGTAGTAGCGCTTCTGTACTCCCCCTTTTCTTTGATCCCCTTGGCAAACGACGGACACCCCGGTCCGCATCTATAAGAAGCAGCACACCCATCATTCCTACCCACACCCAGACACCCCCACCCTTGTGGTAGCGCTGCATCTAGGGACAACTCTCCCAATTTTTCAATTTCAAGAAAAATACAGCAAGTCCAGTTGCCTTGACTTATTTTTTACAGATATACCATGACCTGGATGAATGAGAACCTTCACAGACACTTTCACCAGGGTTCTTCTTAAAAATTAGTAATGGCAGATTCTCTCTTTATATAGTTGCCTGAGCTCAGTTGTAACTTGACAATTGTTACCCGTCTGCAGAATATTAATTTTTCTAACATGCATAAACCACATGCATTGTTTTACAGGATTTTAATGTTTGAATTCTACCTAAAAAAAGGCCATTAAACTGTTATTGCACTCCACCCCTATAATTTAGCGATTACCTTCTCCTACTCTTCATGCCAAATCCAGAATGTAATTTTGAATGGAGAATTGCAAATAAAAAAAAAGTTAGATGGAACTATTGCTTTCTTATGAACGATTATCCATCTGTCAGAGCGTTCAAGAATGTGGGTCAGAGCTGTACCTAACAGCGGTAGAAAATTAATATTGCTGTAAGATCCACATTAACTGTTTATGTTTCTGCATGCAGCAACATTTTTGCTCATCTACATAGGACTTCAGTAAAATTATTTAGAAAGAAAAATATTTTAGAGCAGTTGTAAAGACCGTTACCTGATTGTAAAAAAAAATGTTGTGCCTTCCCTCATAGGCTTTATAGCCATTTAAACGGATGGAA